CTGATTACAAAAGAAAGGAGAATTGATCTGAATTCTCCCCTTTGTTTAATTCTGGGTTCTTCACGGTGGCGATGAAATGCTTCCCTCGAATGCTCACGTCGAGTTTGCTTCTCGTTGACGATCTGAATGTCTTGTTTCACTGGAACGTGGTCTTCTCCTTACGATTTGACGTTATGGAAAACTTACAAAGCAAGTTTTAGAACTCTGGACTAGTTGATAACTCTAAACGAGTTTGAAACTCTATGAAAGAGTTGATTTAACCAAAATCGGTTTATAGCCAAGGATGAAAGCTCTCTGTTGTCGAATGTTGCTGAAGGATGAACGTCGATCTCCCCCTCACTGCCAAGCTCCAGGGTCAATCCAAGCTAAGAAGTTCTAACCCTTAACTCGGTTGAGTTTCTTCTTATTTATAGGGGATTAAGGGTGTAACCGCCCATTAAATCACTCCTAAGTGGGGGTGTAACTACCCCTAAATCGTGGGAAACAGTTTTGGAACCGTTCAAGGGTTTAAGGGGTGTAATCCTCCCTAAAATCTCTCCATAATGGGGTGTAACCGACCCCATTAAGTGGAGATACGATTTGAAGACAGTTCAGGTTCTGTTTGAACCAATCGAATTCAAAAAACACGGGTCTGTCCCACGTGGGTCTGACCCTCGCATTTTAATGTTGCAATGCGGGTTCGACCCCTACGTTTTGATGTTGCAATGCGGGTTCGACCCCTGCGTTTTGATGTTGCAATGTGGGTTCGACCCCTGTGTTTTGATGCTGACACATGGGGAGGACCTCCATGTTTTGGTGTGGCAACGCAGGGAGGACCTATGCATTTCATTCTGGGAACATAACCACGAGCTACGCACTTTGAATCTGGGACGCATATGTGAGCTCTGCGTCTGGATATGAAGAGACCGTCAATTTGTAGTCTCTTTTGCTAGAGTGCTACAAAAACTATCATCTTGTAATCTTCGTCTTGGCTCTTTGAAAATATGAGAGTCATCAGATTGTAACTCCCGATATGGATTGTGAAGGCTGTTGATTAGAGCTTTCATCAGTTGTTACGAATATCGTCAGATTGTAACCTTCATCGATCTATGTGAAAGTCTTTAAATTGTAGCATTCTGGAAGTCGTCAGATTGTAACTTTCATCATCGGTGTTTGATGGGGGATCATGTATCTATTGTGATTTTTAGACAACCTACATGTGGCAAATCCATTGACTAAACTTTTAAGTCAAAAGGTGTTTGAGAAACATATTGACCAGATGTGTTTGAAATTTATATTTGATTGGCTTTGCGTGCAAGTGAGAGACTGAAAGATGTATGCTCTACAAAGCTAATAAATTTATTATATGATCATAAATAAGAGTTTACATGCGTACTCATACAAAAATCTTGAAAATATGAAATTTTCAAACAACTTTTTGAGTAATATGATATTACAAATAGAACCATGAAATTTAAAAATTACTAGCAACCTCCTCACCAAAAATTTAAAAAATTATAAAGGTCACCCTTAAAATATGAGAATTTTGAACAATCACCTAAAGAACTTGAAATTATAGACAAATCCTAAAATTTTAAAAGTACAAACAACCACTTGAAAAATCTAAAATTTATTTAAAAAACCCAAATAATCCATAAAATACAACACGCTCCTTGAAAATCATAAATTTTTGAACACTTCCATGAAAAAATTATAATTACATACAGCACCCCAAAAATTTAAAAATTACAACCACACTTCTAAAAATCTTAATTTGAAAAAAACACCCCCAAAAAAGTGAAAACAAAAACACCCTTAAAATATGAGATCTTTGATCAGCCCTCTGAACAATCTAAAACTACAAATAACCACCAAATATTTAAAAATTACAAACAACCTCCCAAAGTCTTAAAATACAAAAAACATGTAAAAATTCTAAAATTATAAACAACACACCTAAACTCTAAAAAAATTATTCTCCCCTGCACAAACTAAAATTACAAAAAACCCTCAAAAAGTTTAAAAATTAGGAAAATCTCTATCAAATTATTAAAAATCACAAATGACCTTTTGAAAAATGAAAATTACAAACAACTCAAAATTACAAACAAGCTCTGAATAAAATAATTCCAAACAATCGCTTTGAAATCCACAAGTACCAAATGACTTTGGACTTGAAAGTTCTATAATTGAAATTCTAATATTTTCCAAACTACATGTAGGCGTCAAAAATTGCCTATAGCTTCCCGCACGTAGTTCAAAACAGAGAGAAGGCGTTGAACGCTATTATCCGAGTCAAAGAGGATTACCTAAAAAGAGGATCATCTGATGCCAAAAGGAAGCAAAGTAACGCATGAGACGAAGAAGCGCACAAAGCGGAAGAAGGACGTGAAAATACAAAGCAAGGAAGCAACAACGAGATTTAGAATGCATGGTTCAAGAAGAATAAAAATTTTGACCATGATTCGATTCAAATTCGAAAACTCTCAAAAGATAAAAGTTGTATGTCTCTTTACCAGCTTTCCAACGCAACTTGAATTACCTTATTCTGAGGTTGGACGAGAAAATTAAAGCAAAAATATGGAAGATAGTACAAACTGTCTCGAAAAATCCGAGTCGCTTCAAAGTGACTCGGAAAATCCGAATCGCCTCAAAATGACTCAGAAATTCTGAGTCACTTCGAAGTGACTCGCGTCCAGGTCATCTCCTGATGTGTTTTCTGATAAGATTGGCTTCTAGAACTCCTTGGGTCATCCATAAATATGTGGGTAGTCCTTAAACGTGTGGAAGCTGTTACACAACCGAAAACCCACATAAACGGATAATAACGGTTGTTCTTCGATCCTATTCACAAACATGGCATTTAAAATCTATAAATACACCCCTAGCACCCTTATAAAGGAATATCTGAAGGGAGCCACGAATTTTCGAGGCGCTAGGATGAGGTTCTGACGAATTTGAGAGAGGCTAGAGTGATCTTGGCAAAATCCTGTGCATAAAGAGTGGATTTCGAGAGATCTGAAGCTCACTCTATCTTTTCTCCAGGTCAAACTTGGTTTTGATCTCAAGAATAGTAAGCAATCTCGCTTGGTCGAGATTATTTACTTCTGCGAATACTTCCTTTGTGAAGTAAGAGCATTGAATTTTTGTTTTGTCAACCGGATCTGATCCGCGATGGTCTACGGACTAATGTTTCCCCGGCACAGGTAAAGATCTCACACAAGCAGTGGATAATAAATGTCCTCTGCGTGTGTTTGAAGAGAGTTGTAATTTTTGTAATCAAGTTGTCATATAAAGAGACTAACTCTTTTGAATTCATTGTAATCAATAAACGTGTAATGAATTCGACAAATAAACCAACTTTTGATGTAAACATGCTGGTGATCACAGTGGGAGCCAACAGTCTCACTACTAAAATTATCATGTCACAACCAAAAATCAAGATCCCGGTTGATTCAGCGGTCGAGCACGAGTTCAACGAAGCCAAGTTCGAGGAATATTTCTCCTCGTCTTCATCAAAATCCTCCTCTCCCTACAAATGTGGAAAAATATTATCTTCGAAGGAGGCATATTCACCGATGAAGGCTACAAGTGACTCTTCTCTAATCAAGGAGTTATCCAATCAAAGTACACCAACTCTGACGAAGAGGGATCGTCAGAGGTGACGCCAACGCCAAGCTCGTCAAATCACCAAGACATTAGAACAAGTTGAAGGGGTTGGATATTACACAAACTTGGAGTCCAGGAGGCGTCAAGTAACCGAATCACTTCAACAGCGTGTTGCTGACAAATACTCCAAGCCATCGATAGAAGAATGGATCCTTGTCAAAAGGTATCAGTCAACCCGGAAGGAGCGTATCCAAAGGCGGCGTACACGTGCCACACATGCTCGCACCCTTTTGTAAAAGGCAAAAGGTATGAAGGTGGCCAAAAAGTCATAAAAACTATACCAAGTCTGGAGGCCAAAGTCTAAAACAGCGGCTGAAAAGATCGAAAATCTTTAGTCACTTTTGAGTGACTCGGCCAAGTGCGAGTCACTCCAAGGTGACTCGCGCTAAGCCCGAGCCACCTCAAGGTGTCTCGCACCTAATTCACCTCCTGTAGCCATTTCTTCATTTTCTTCGAGTCTTGTTCCTCCTCCAGTCAATCCCGCACCTCCGGAGATGTCTCACGACAACATTGATCTGTCGAAATTCAAGGTTATGACGGTGGACCATCTCGGACCTTCGCACGAAGATAGAGGCAAAGCTCCGGTGAACAAAACCTGAGTAGTTCCTCAGGCTGGGGGTCGTAGAAACACTCCCGTCAAGCCAAAGGCCGCTCAAAGGTGTCCCGTCGCCTCCAAACAAACCAGGACACCTCATTGTATATGTTCGTGCACTGTGCACAAGAGGACTTCTAGCATCGATCGCCTAGGGGTTCGTATCGAAGCCTAGGAGCCCGTTAACATCTCACGCTCGTAAGGGGGTGGTTCTAAACGTGCGACTCCTGATGCAATCTTGGATCATTCAAAGGCGACAATAAATCATCCTGAGAATGTCAACAAGGTTCTTCATCCCTAAAAGAAGACGTATCCGTCAAAAGATAATGTTATACTTGGGGCATCATACTAATAAGCTATGGATTACTCCAATGAGCTGCACCATCAGGCTGGGGGTATGAACAAATCCTAAAAGAAGGGTGTCCGAGAAACCAGCTCTCACTATCCATACGGGAGATCTATCAGGGCAGTATTATAAAAATGTAGCTGCCCCAAGACCATTTCACAAAGGATCTCGATATTCGAGAAACTTACCACCGAAGCATCAAAGCCCAAGCCAAGACGTTTCCATGAGAGAAAATCTACCATCCAGGATGATGAATTCCTTAAAGTCACCATCAACATGGTTGATAATGAAAAGTCTATGATTGCTTCAAACGGCTCTAATCTTAACTTTTCTCCTAGAAGAAAAATCAATTCAGGGATAGCCCAACAACGAATGTCTCGACTCCAGCTAGAAGCCATCGAACATAGGGATTACCCGAGGATGCATGAAGGACTATCTTCAGAAGACGAACTGTCAGATATTTGCTCCGCAATTGCCTCCAATGATACAATATCCAGCATAGGGAAATGAAGGGAATCGTTCATAATCACTCCCAACCTAGTAGATCAAATGCTTCAAGAGGCTTTAGCTCGATAGCGAGAGAAACTCAGAGCTGAAATAAAAATAGAGTTGATCATACGGCAGATGAGAGAGTTATAGGCTCAACGATTTTAACCACGACATGAGACCAGTTGACAGTGATCTAAAAGTGGACGAAGTCATCATGGCTGACGCACCCCTCAAAAATATTAGGGGTGACCTAATCACATCCCTCAATAACACTAGTGGTGGTTCAATTGCACTCCTCAATATCGCTGGGGGTGGTTCAGTTGATCTTTCTCGACATCCTTCAAAGAAATATACGGGCGAGGACAATAAGATGATGCAGGAGCTGGAAGATAAGGTCAACACCTTGCTATCGGCTCAAGAAGTGAAGAGGACCAACATTATGTGTCCATATCCAAGAGAGTAGGATTCAATTCTGTACCCGAAGAAGTTCAATCTAATTAACTTCACGTCGTTTGATGGGAGAGGCTCACCCACTCAGCACCTAATTTATTTTAAATCCTACCTAGGAGTGATCTTCGGGAATGAACCCCTGATGATTGGGTAATTCATGGGAACCCTTTATGAGGCGGCCTTTGATTGATATCGACGTCTCAAGCCGGGGAGTATCAACTGCTGGGACGACATAAAAAACTCGTTCCTCAACAACTTCTTCGACGATGACACTGAAGTGTCAATCGGAGCATTTCTGGATGAGAAGCAAGAAAACAAATAGTCAGTCGACACCTTCGTTAAACACTTCCATAACAAGGTAATGAATTGTAGGGATCCTGTCACAGAGGAATTTATCTTGCAGATATGCCATAACAATCTCTCCATCGATGTCCTAGAAATCATGGGAGTTGTACCCTCAACTATGTGGAAAGAGTTAAAACTATGCAGGGAACAAGCCGAACGTTTTCTCAGAATGAAGAAGGCCGAGAGAGGCCAATCGACGGCTAAGGCACCTGCAACTACTGATGACATTCATCAAATATCACAACAGCAATCTTGGAGGCAATAAGGGACTCTTAATCCGAAGTTCTAGGAGGAGTATTCTTTCGAAGATGATGAAGTTCCAGCCATCTTCAAGTACCTCCTTGCTAACAAAAAAATCAAGCTACCACCAATTACAAATCAGGAGGAAGCAAACAAGATTTCGGATCCGAAGTACTGTGCATATCACAGGAGGATTCATAACTCCACCAAGACTTGTATTACTCTAAAAAATAGCATTCAAACCTTGGTTGACGTTGGTATCATGATGGTAAAATAAGCCAAATAATAATGGTGTCTTTCGATAGGTATATGAGGTTAAATTGCTCACTGATCCTCCAAAAGGTATATGAGGTTGAACTGCTCCCATACTCCAATAGGTATACGAGTATAAACTGTTTCCCCAATCTTCAATGAGTATATAAGAATAAACTGCTTCCTTTAATTCCAACGTGAAGTTCCTAGAGAATATTACACATAATATTCTTAAGGATAACCCGAGATTAAAGGATTGTTCAAGTCTACGTCAACCACGCGTTGCCAGGTAGCTTATTCCTGTAACAATGGTAAATTTTATGTATTTAATATCATCACACTAAGTTTAAGAGAGTTAACTCTTTTAGCATAACGTTACATACAAAAC